AGTACTCTATATATTGGTTTTTATTCCCGAATAATATTCAAGTTTTGGAATGGATATTAAAAAAAAATATAGCATTCAAACAAAGTTTCTCATCAAATAAGCTACAAGGGTCATCTTGTAGATGCAATAAACTTGAAAAAAAAACTTTTTTGTTTTACATGATAAAATAGGAATTATTTTGCCAAGGTCTGTTTTGAGAGTATTGATGTATCAGTATTATCGTCACTGTAGCTCAGGCGGTAGAGCGCTCGCTTCGTGATCGGAAGATTGTGGGTTCAAAGCCCGGCCGCGGCTTATCTAGTTAAGTCGATAAAAATAGGTAGCAACTGTTCCTTTGCTAAGCGCTCAGCACTTTGAAGAAAATGTTGTGGGTCTTTCGGACGAAAAATTCCCTCACTGTTCAATGGCCCTCAGTGCCGAATATTGGTCTAAATTTGAGGCCCTTCACCTGTGACTTCTCTGTATAAGTGAAAAATTCTCGAACGGGACGTAAAACAAAATACAATCATGTACCAACATCATTTATCACTGTGTTATTGTATTCTTACCTCATTCACCCCCGACCTGCTGCTGTCATGTAACATTTTCCTTGGTGGTTGTTCGTATACAAAACAAGTAATATTGTCAGAAAAGCAAAATAAGAACACGACAAAACGCAAAGAAATAAAACATTAAAAAAATTAATTGGAACTATAAACATTGAAACGTGAAAAGAATACAAAAACTGGAAAAAGATATTGTACAAGAAATCGATATACCTTAAGAAAATTAGCTCTTTGAAAGGAGCATAACATTTACTACTTCATAAGTAACAAAAATCTCATACATGTACGTGTAACATTCTATTATCAATTAAAAACATTTCAATAATATTTAGAATATGCAAAGTTCTCTTGTGTGTGAATAAAATTTTTATATAACAATGATGATACAATTGAAATATCACTTTAAATCTATGCTTCGAACCACTCCCTCCATTTCGCCGCTATATTCTCTACCAGAAAAATCGATTCTTCTTTCACAAATACATCTTTATGGAACACACTCGAAACATATTTTGTAAATTCAGTTGAAAAAAAAAATCTTTCAATAAAGATACTTGTGTATAGCTTAGATTCCTGATAACAATACAGACGGGATGGACAATTGCATAAATCAGTTTTTGGAATGTTGGCTTCTCTGCAAGTCACATGCAGTTTCGAACGCCGTAAGGTCTCTTTTTTGACGTTTTCCGCATCGTATATAGTTTAATTTAATTACGTGCACCTGGTTTTTCGATTCCTTACATTTATTTCACATCAAAAGAATATGAACTGGTTATCCTCAATAAATCTCTTTAGTAAATACAAACACAGATGTCACGTGGTGACTTTGACCTGTCAGGTACATTGTATGTATGATTTGAATCTCAAATATTTAGAGAATCTGGTTAATAAATATAGCTAAATGTAAAATCAAAACAAGGCATGGCAACTTCTTCCTTATTTTATTCGTCAGATAGTATCGGTTCATCATATACGTTGAATTTATTCACATGCTTTTTTGATAGTTTTAAAATTTAGTAGTTTTAAAATAAAAATTTACTAGCACGATGACTACATGAACTTTAAAAATGGGGACACAGTGGCTTTTACAAAGACATTATGGAATATTGCATAATTTCTTAACCACTCTTATACAAGTTAAGGCTCTAATGAACCTCTGATGAATTCAGCTCTTTCATAGACGTCGCCGCTTTTGAATGATGATTTTAAGGGAAGGTTAAGTTGCTTCTCGACGTTTTGGCTCGGTGTTTGGTTTCACAGTAAATAGATTTTCGCATTTTTATTGTATAAAATTATTTTTGTTTTTTTAAATGTTTAACAATATATTCGCTGCTAAGCGGGATGGATAATTGCATAAATCAGTTTCGGAATGTTTGCTTCTCTGCACGTTACATGCAGTTTTTGACGTTTTCCGCATCGTATGTAGTTTTATTACATGCACCTGCATTTTCAGTTCTAGTGAAAGTTTAAGGCATCATGTCGATTCCTTACGTTTATTCCACATCAAAAGAATATGAAATAGCTATCCTCAATAAACTAATTGGTAAATACAAACACAGATGTCACATGGTGATTTTGACCTGTCAGGTACATTGTATGTGTGGTTTGATTCCCAAATATTTAGAGAATCTGGTTAATAAATATAGCTAAATGTAAAATCAAAACAAGGCATGGCAACTTCTTCCTTATTTTATTCGTCAGATAGTATAGGTTCATCATATACGTTGAATTTATTCACATGCCGTTTGTGACAGCTTTAAAATTTATTTATGTTAAAATAAAAAAATTCACCATCAAAATGTCTACATGTACTTTAAAAATGGGGACACGGTGGCTTTTGCAAAGACACTGTGGAATATTGCATAATTTTTTAAACTACTCTTATACAAGATAAGGCTCTAAGGAACCTCTGATGAATTTGAGTCTTTCATAGACGTACCGCTTTCGAGTGACCATTTTAAGGGAAGTAAAGTTGCTTCTCGACGTTTTGGCTCGGTGTTTGGTTTCACGGAAAATAGATTTTCGCATATTTATTGTATAAAATTATTTTTGGTTTTAAAAAAAACGTATTCAGACAAGCTGTCTCCGTTATTGACGTGTAAAAATATTTTTTTGCAATTGAACGATATGACCGAAATCAAGAAATTATTCTTCTCTTACATCACGACCTTGGTGCTTTGTTTTCTTGAATTGATAAATGAAAGTTAGGTGACCTTTATTTATTATCTCAAAATAGTTAACTTGTTCTAAATATTTCAATACTTAATGATTCTATTATAAATTACTTGATTCAAACTCTCACAGGGGGTCATTTTACCTCACACATGCAACAGAGAATTCTTACAAATGTGCATTAAGTTCACGTGAACCCGGAAGTAGGTTGTTACCAATAATCATATAAAATTTATCTTAGAATGTCTGCATATCATACATGTTCTTTACCCTGAGGGCACATTAATCCAACCGGCGCCATTCTTAATTCTAAACAATGCATCCAAATACTCTTAAAATATCTCTTCTCAGACATATATATGTGCATTTTTTTCCAAACACATATAAGAAACTAAACGGTTGCAGACATGGCTATATTTATGCTTATGATAGAGTATTGAACGTTAGGGCATGCTTTCGATTCACCGCTTTGCGTAGAAATCTTTTTCCTGGTTACCTAAAGCATAAAGAGTATTTCACTGTAACGCCACGAGTATGTAGTCGTGACTAACTTTAGGAACGAAGGTCGGAACCAATGTAAAGTAACCTTTTAAAGGTAAAATCTGGTTATGTGGTAATCCCTTTGTCGTTCTGATAACAGTTAGATGTTCTTGTGCAAAAAAGTGCACGAGTGCGCTGAAATACATTCAGATCAGTAAATGTATACTCAAAAGTTGATAGAATTTTGTCATTGCTGTTGGGGAAAACGCAGGCATCTGTCAGAATCCACCGCTTACAACAAGCCCTACATTCAGTCGCGGTCGTTTACACTGAAGCACTGGATTTAATGTGACCTGGATTTAGAAGGCATATATCGACCTTTCACCGAGTATAATGAATTATTGTGCAAACAGTTCAAAACTTTTGCGAATAGATCATCAGTGAAACAGAAAGCTAAATAATATATTTAAAAAGTTTTTTTTTCTCAAGACGCTTATTTGAAATAGGTTTGATCTTTACTTTTTAGGGTTCAGCAAGACAAAAATATGAGATTTTTTAGCACTTTTTTTTCATTCATCCAATATAATGAAAACGCCCTTCTAAAGCTAGTTTATAGTTACTTACTATCATTCCAATATCAGCGTTACTGCTTGCTACTTTGCTTGATCAAGCGTGCTAAGCTTTAATTTACATGTTGATTACCATATTATCATTGATTGGCTGGTTGGTTAAAAATAACCCATACTACTTTACATATAAAACACAGGACCTCCAAATACCACCGAGAGTTAATCACATCGAACACGTTGAAAGAGTTTATTACGGTAGAAAACAGCAACACTCGGTCAGTCAAAGTCTGTTTTACTTCCTATATCTTATGTGTCATGTTCAATTTTTACATGAAAACTAGTAAAGCAACACTCCTGAGTACTAGTGCATGGGTGCGGTATGCAAGTGATAGCTAAAAAAAATGCATATTATTACAATACGTTAAATTCACAAAACAAAGCGCTAGAGTTTCATTTAGATGTTCAAGAAACTTTAGCGCTTTGTTGTGTGAATCAAATATTGTAATTAATCAAAATCATTAGGTCTTTTCCTTGTACTGCTGTAAGAATATCTAACCACAACCAAATATGAAGCATGCAAAAAACGGACTTTGTCTGACCATGTATTGCTGCTTACTATAAATGCCGTACTCGTAAACAATCACTCAATGTGATTTGTCAGTATTATTTGTGATATTGCAGGATTCTGTGTTTCATATACAAATTAGTATTGATTCCACTGAAATCAAACATCTAATCGATGGGTAATATGTTAATCAATTTGTGAAATTACTACGGTTAATCAAGCAGACCGACACGTTGTTATTGGAATGATACTAGATTTAATTTGTCATATGACTGCATTATTCAGAAAATGTCATTCCAAAATTTACTTCATTTGAAATATCACCATTCGTGGTCTGATTTCAAAGAATTTGTGTTTTATTTAAAGTCTCAAATGTATTTTTAATTACTCATCATGATCTTTTGAACATGTGCAGGGGTTATTAAAAAACCTGTGCGTTAATTATGTCTCCGTCAGATGCACTTAAATCTGCTTCTATTATATCATTATAACAACATATTGTTTGTAATGAAAACAGGGAAGAAATGAAGTCAAGAGCTTTCACATATTCTGCTTTTTGTACTATGTATCACATCGGAAACTGTTTAAAAAGCTTTGCATTGATCTTGTTTACAATGAAACGCTTATACAGATTTGTAGCGTTATAGTCCGTGAAATATGCAAATATACATATACACACCACTGGATCACTTTTCTGTACTGAGCAAAAATGTTGGCCGAGTTCCAGAAAAAAAGTCTAGCTCATTGGTGCGCAGGTCAAACTTATTTGGGTTATTAAATTGAGGTGCCGATATAAATAACACCATTTTGTAGAGGAAAGATCGCGAGTGAGCATAAATGTTTATAAGACACTTCACAAACTACGGATTTATTATAATTCCGTGGACCAGGTAAATAAAGCATTATTGTTTAAAAATTTACAAGATAATGTTTATATGTATTTATATTCTTTGATTTATTATTCATTTTTTGTAAATAATAAATATTGTAAATAATTATTCTTGCATTTATAGTTATATGTTGGCATCAAATATTACAGGATCAAATCAATAAAGATTTTTTTTTTTAAATTTGTTTAGTATGAATCGAGGCAATATTTCAATGTTTTTTTAAATGGTCGTATATTTCTGTGGTTCCGTTTTTCTCAAAATAACTAAATCGTTATTTTTTAAATATATATTTATTTAAATATATTTTTCAGTTGATACACAATGGTGCATGGATTAACTATGACAAATATACCTTATGCAGCAGAACATTACATCGGTGGTCCAAAAATGACAGCTTTATCAAGTCCAGCCGATAATAAAAATTCTTATCCCATTAAACACAGTGTCATGGTACCATTAGAAAAACTAATGAAATTGCAGACAATGTGCTATAATTATGACCAGTTCCAGAAAGCGAGGGAAGGAGCAGAAAATGACGTAGTATTAAATGTGACGTCAGTGGATGGGTCTTCAGACTCATGCAGCAATTCTTCAAAATCTGAAGCTGATGAAATTGATGTAGAAATGTTGGAGGAAAATTTCCCTGAATCTCATGTTAAGGACTTAAATTCTGTGTCGACTCAACAAATAATGACCAACCAACGTGACACATTCCATGAAAACACACCGTCTCCAGTCAATGATGCCTCCGCACAGTCTCATAAACAAGGTGTCTCTAGTAAAGGCAAAGGGCGATCTGGTCAGTTAACTTTTTTTCTCTTATGAAAAAAAGAAAGTTTTAAATGCATTTTTATCACGTTTATAAGCTTAGAAGTATTTGATATAGAAAACTAGTCAAGCTCCTAAATATTAATTAAAAATAAAATATATATATGCCGATGAAAAGCTTTAAATATGAGAAAGAAAACATACATTTATACCTATTACGTTGTAAGCAAAGACACGATATTTCAATTTCAAAAATTCTTAAAAAAAAAAAAAAGAAAAAAAAGAAAGTATTTGCACAAAAGAAAACAACAATAAATAAAATTATAAAATTAAAAAAAAAAAATCATAACAAGTATGATTAAACTTACCAATATATATTAATGCCTTTATTTAATTCTAAATTATCTACGTTTTTATTCAGTTTATGCTTTTTAAATAAAAAATGAAACAAGGATATCTTTCATTCAACGTTTTTATAAGTGTGAAATTGAAAATCAAAATAGATATTGAACACAACAATCTATGTGTAATTTCTTCTTCAAAATACGTAATTAAAAAAAAGAATCACACACAAAAAACATATACACATTCCAGAACACTTTCTATTAATTAGAGAAATAGATATCTAATATTATATTGATTTTTTTTAAAAACAGATAATTATTGCCTCCAATTACGCACACACACCTACATGTAAATTTTGAATTAAAATGTACATACTTTTTTTTCCTTCAGTTAAATCAGAATCTATAGATGGACATATTTTATGCAAGATATGTGGCGACAAGGCTTCAGGCTTTCACTATGGGGTATTTTCATGTGAAGGATGTAAGGTATATAATAAAGCTTTCAAATTATTTATTTTGTTGTCCATACAGCATATTAGAACACATAGTAAATGACTACATTGTTACAGGGGATAACAGTATATAAATAACAAGTGTATATGTTTCATAAGGTAGATCTAGTTGTAATTGTAAAACTCTTAAGAATTGCGAAAAATTTAACCGCCTAATGGAGCTTTGATACAAGCATTTTCCGAGATGAAAAGTTTATTTACATTTTATATGATAACAATTCTAATGAAGTTTTCTTGTAGTAATTTTTTTTTTCAAATATTTTAATTTATTGTAATCATCCTACTGTAGAAAATGAAAAAGAAAATTAAGAAATAACAAAGATCAATTATGATATTGTACCGAAAGCACCGATCTCATATGAAACGTGTTATTTTCAGTTTTACTATTTTTTTGTGAATATTTAGTTTAAGAAATATCATATAACTTTGTAAAAAGATAGAATTTGTTGAGACCATCGCTCCGAAAACTCCCCTTTTTTCAAGTGTATTTCTTGATATACTTTGTTTTATCAAATAAAATATACAACATGGCCATTTTTATATTTTATTTGATGAAAATAAAGTATATCGGGAAGAACAGCAGGATAACTCAGATTTTTTATTTCGTTCAAAATCTTCAATTCCATGTGTTCTGTTTTTCTTCGGAAAAATAAAACATGTTTGAAACCTATATCTTACAAAGAAAACTATATATTTGCATGGAATTATATATGTAATTTTATTTCAACAATTTTAACAGACTGTAAATATTACTTTCATGTAATCAGAAATTAAATCATTTCTTTCTTTTTTTAAATTTTTAGGGATTTTTCAGACGAACAGTTCGACAAAAACTCGTGTACAAACCGTGCGAAAATCCAAACGGCTGCTTGATCATGCGTATAAGCAGGAATAGATGCCAGTACTGTCGTATGCAAAGATGTATCATGGCGGGCATGTCTCACGAAGGTAAATCTGCATAATCACGCCCAGTGCATTATATTTTAAAGTAAATAATATGTATTTCACTTTTTCAAACACTTTAGCTTATTCCATCTAAAAAAAATCTGTCAACATCAGGTTCTTTTCCATTATGAATTAAAGGTCAAAGAAAATTTGATTAAAAAAATAAAATAAAATTACATTTTAAAAGTAATTATCTACTTAAGATTCTTTTCCTTCAGTCCATAATGTCAATGAAAATTTGATTTTAAAAAAACATGTCCGTTTTAGGTTCTTTTTCTTTATCCAATAAAAAGAACCAAGCAAAGTGGTTCGGCTCTAAAATATTACGTCGCAAAGTATCTCTTGTGGTTCAATCATATAATGAAAACAAATTAATAAACAAATATGAAATCAATGCACCCAGATAATAAAGTTTGACATCACAAATAAGCATATTGATTTCCCGCTTAAGGAAAAGTTATGTAAAATAGACAACTTTCAGACTGCTTTGAATGTTTAAAAAATATGTATCGATTAATAGCAAACGATATGTTAACGTGTCATATAACCTGAACGGCTGTGCAGACAAATATAACGCGCTTTAACACGAAATACGCTCCATGAAAAGAAGATAGGCGTATTTGACGTGTAATCTGCAGGAATCGTGTAAAAATCATTCATAGTTAAAATGTCCAAGTCAAGCAGACGATTTGATCGGCTGACCACAGACTTTGTGAAAGCTACAAATATAGAAAATAAATAAACGCTCCAAGTGAGAATCGAACCAAAACTTATCGATACCTCACCGTCATGGACAGGCTACATAAACCACTGTGCTATCGTCTCTAAATACAGAATTTGGGCTTTAAAACGACAGTGAAGCACAGAAGCACAATATGATTTTTAATTTTTATGAATCTGAGTTCTCTATCCATTTTTTACAAAAATGTTCTCGTTTTTGTGAGTTAAATTGCACAAAAATAATGTTTTAAAATCGTATAGCGATGACCCAGGGATAGCAAATATCTAGAAAAACGTGTGTAAAAATGTAACATTTTGTATCAACTGACTAATCTAGCCATATTTCAAGACATATTTTTGCGAATCAAAACAAAAAATTATTTCCCTCTCCTACATCACAAAAACCCAATTCATCAATACAATGCTTAAATATAACGTGTCAAATCAATGAAATTTTGACTTTTCGAATCCTGCCGAATCCAAATCAAAAGGTCCTCGTTCTTTAGTTGTATAGCCATTCCTGTAATGACAGTTGAACGTCCAAAATTATACTAATCAATTGATTCACACGTATAATTTTTTGTTGGACCTTGTTTTTGTCCTGACCTGAAATCTGAAAATCAAAGATACTCGCATCTTCTTCTTCGATAAAAATATAGATAAGTTCAGGAAAAAATTCTCATCTTTCAGCTGTACGATTGGGAAGATGTCCTAAAAAAGACAAGCCAAAGAAAATGGATTTTTTTAAGCTGCCTCAGAATAAGCATGGAAAAGTTGACATTGATAAACAGATCCGATCGGAACAGATGGTCTTGACGATACATGATGCTTTCCGAACAGCCATTAAAGATTGTTTAACATCGACAAGATCGACCTCGTTCAAAGTAGGTGTATCTACACAAATAAAAAAGTGTTTATGTCATTCTTGACCTTCAATGCTTTATTAATCAAAGTATTTAGGTCAAAGTGGTACCTGGTGATTAATTAATGAGATTTATTTAAATGAGTTCTGATTGCGTATGGAAATCATTCCGTCAAAGCACGGAAGAAATTAAGTCTAAAACATAAATTCAGTAAAGCTATTTTTCATAAAATATTATTAACATTTGAAAACTAGAGTACTGTGAGCATTGAGTTCACAAAATGATACCCCCGCTCAAATATGAGTATAATGGCAAAGTCCATTTTTTGCGATGGAAAAAACCCAAATATATGTCTGACAGAAAATAAAAAAGAAAGAATGTCATTATGAAATAAAGATGCTGTGAAAGTCTCATATAATTTCATTCAGTGGTATAGTAGGAGTTGCGGATAAGAGATAGGTACCCCCGATATTATAGAAGGAATGACTTTGTCCAGGTTTTGCTGTGTGAAATCCAAATATCTGTCCGACCAATAATAAATAGGAGGTGCGAAATGGCACAATGTAATATAGATTCTGTAAAAATCTCATAAAATTTCATCCAGTGGTACATGTGAAGAAGATGTTGCGGAAAAGAGATATACATCCCCAATATTATAGAAAGAAAGGATTTGTCCATGTTTTGCCATGGAAGCCCCATATGTTTGTCCGATTGAAATACAAAATAGAAGGTGCAAAATGGCATTTTGTAATAAAAGTTCCGTGAAAGTTATATTAAATGTTATGCAGTGGTATTGGAGGAGTTGCAGATAGGAAATAGGTACCCGTATGTTCAGGTTTTGTTACGAAAAACCCCAAATATCTGTCTGATCGAACGAAAAAAAAAATAGGAGATGCACAATGGCACTATGTGAAAAAGATTCTGTGAAAGTCTCATTTTATTTTATTAGGTAGTATAGGAGGAGATTAGGATAAGAGATTGTTATCCCCAGTGTTATAGAAGAATAGCTTTGTCCATGTTTTGCCTTGGAAACCCCCAAAGTCTGTCCGATTGAAATAAAAAATAAATGTGCATAATGACACTATGGAATAAAAATTCTGTGAAAGTTTCATTGATCTTATGCAGTGGTATTGGAGGAGTTGCGGATAAGAAATAGGTACCCATATTTTAAAGAAAGAATGACTTTGTCCATGTTTTCATATGGGAAATCCCAAATATCTGTAAAGCAGAAGGTGCACAAAGATTCTGTGAAAGTCTCATTAAATATTTTTCATTTGTATAGGAAGTGTTAACGTTGTGGATAACAAATTTGTTAGGGACAGAAGGACGGATACCCCATCACTTTATATCCCCCGCTTTCCAAGCTGGAGATATAGTGAATAATTTAATACATACAAAATAATGCCGTTATTTCTATTAAAGATTGTTTCAGACGAAAAGAACCCTTTACAAAATATTTTTTTAATGCATGAAATTAATAATGATATTTTATCTGTTAGGTTTCTGGATTTTGGTAATATATGCGAGGTTAAAATCGTAATTAGTTAAAAATTAGTTTCTAAAAATTAAGATTCTTTATCAATAAAGATATATTCCGATGAGAAGGTGTTGCTAGAAACTATCTCGACATTAATTTATAGGTTATGCATTTTGTTTCATTTTTTATTACTCATTTTCCTTACAGCATCTCAGAATAACGTCTGAAAACGAGGCGAGGAAATTTTGTTCTCAATATGTGACAGATATGGTGCGTTTCATCTCAGTTTTTGCTCGTGAAATACCTCAGTTCACTCAAATGGACATAAGTGACCAAAAGACTCTCATAAAACATTGTATTCTGGAATCCATTATCATCCATAGTGTTAGCCTCTCCCCCTCAGACATTGAGGAACAGGTCAAAAGTTTGGAAGATAGTGACACAGTCTGTCATGGCCCTCTGACCAAACTTATCTCCGAGGTCGTCTCTTGTGCACAGAAGTTACACGCCTTAAAGTTGACCGAGGTGGAACTTGCCATACTAGCAGCCATGCTTCTGTTCTGTGCAGGTAGGTTATTTTTATTATAAATGTAACAGATTATTGGGCAATGGGTTCTATTCTATCTTTTCTTATTGCTTTCTGTGCAATCTTTTGCTATTGTTTAAACGAGTAGGAAGTAAGTATAGCATCATTGTTAACAATTGCTTAAATAATATGATTGCAATTATTTGATTTAGTTTCTATGATAATTTCTAAAATATCAATAAGTTTAAAAAAGAAGCAAACTATGGAGACTCGATCTTATTCATCTTCGTTTAGGGACAATAGCACGAGTGCACATGCCCTTACATCTGAGAAAACTTTCATATATAACTGCGTACCTCACAAATGTGCACGAAACGAAGGGGCATGAATTAACCATATTGTTGTCAATAAACATTCAATAAATTGTTAATTTGGGACGCTAACCCCCCCCCCCCCTCCCATTTATTCTATTTTCAAACTTCCTTTAAAATGTTGATTTCAGATCGAGAAGACTTGAAGTGTTCAGAGGTCCTTGAAAAAATGGAGATAGAACTTTACTTGGCTCTCAAATGTCAGTTCCTGTTAAACCATACTGACAAGACTTCAAATTTATTTCCTAAAATTGTGGAAATTATATGCAGCATTCGTGCTATAAGCACTCTTTACATGGATGACATAATGAACTCTAAGGTAGAAGTAGATGATACGGTATGCTGACGAACAGTAAAGAACTGGAATTCTCCAAAATATTCTAAAACGTATAGTATTTATTTCGACTGGAATTTGTCATTTTTTTTTCCAGTTTGTTGTTATTAAAAATAGTCCATAACCTAACCCGTAACAAGAGAAGTAGAGCGGAAAATCTTGCATGTCAGAACTACATTGTGTTAACCTTGTTACCAGCTTTAACTGGTAGGAGCAGGTCAAGTGTTCCAATTACTGTTTCAAGCCTTTTATCATGTTTACACATTTGTCTATACAGGTATTTAAAGTACTGCATTGATAACGATACCAATGGAATAAACACTGTTCTTTGTATGATACCTGATCTGGTTTTCCTTGTGTAAAAGGTGTATATTTATTGATGAATAAACATATCATTTGTTATAAGGAAATTCAGTGCTTCACTCTGGTAGAACAGTTATATTGATTGTGGTTGTTGAAAGAATTAAACGAAATAGTATTGTACATATGCGATTCTTTAGAACAGACGAACTCACAACTTTAGTTTTAATGCTCACGTAAACTAACACGACATGATCATGAGGCAATTATTGCGTTTGTAGATTTGTTCCACATCAATTTGTTTTCAAGGCTTTTTTATCACGATGCCTAAAATTAACCAGAAGTGCCTAAAAAATCCATTTGTGCGCTTGACGACAATTTTGTGTGCCCACAGTCCTGCATGAAATGCAAAAATATCTGAATTCTAATACGTACGTACCACTTCATAGCGCTGACAAGTTTTCTTGTTTGACCAAATAAATGCAAGTAGAAAAAGCAGATATGGATTTTTTTTCTCAAAATCTCTTAACATTAGGACCAACCTTCTTCAAATGAAAACTTCTTTAATTCTTGTATATATATATATATATATATATATATATATATATATATATATATATATATATATATATATATATATATATATATATATATATAATAGGGTAATTGTTGCTGTATAGAATTTCTATTTTTTCAATAAAAAAAAGTGTAGGAAGACACTGGATAAAAGAATTCTATAAACTTATATTCACAAGAAATAATTTAACAAGATTATGTAAGTCTTCGCATTCGATTATAAAACACAATGAGAAGGATTTTTTTTTTTTTTTTTTTTTTTTTTTGCTACGTGCCGAGTCAAACGTATGGCTTTGACACGTGGATGTCCTAAATTTAAACACGGGCTAAAATTGCAATTTTAATATCAATATGTCAAACCCTTTTGAACACAATTTACTTCAATCGGAATTTACCCCACAGTTCAGGGGGAAACTGTGTTACAGAAGATCGAATTCCGTTTAGGTGCATAGACGGATTGCAGTGCAGAAAGGCTTTAGGTTTATTATTTAGGCCAGCTTTCTCTTTTAGTTCTAATTTTGTACTGACATGATTTAAAGGAATTTCAATCTAGGTCATCGATCTATTATCTTAATGGTTATTAATGTCAAAATATTTTCTAACAAGACCACGACGTCCTTCCAGTTAAATATCATAAATAGCGTTACTGTTTAAATTATCCTACCGTACTAATATCAGTTTTAAAATCAACTTACATTCATGGAAAATTTATTTTTAATCTTCAAATTAAGGTGGTACTATTTTTCTAGATTTTAAATTAATAGTCTTTGCACTCATCGGTTCGTAATATTCATTGATATCAGGAAATCAAGAAGCACATACAATTCATCGAAATTCATTAGATTATAGATTTAGTAAGGTGATCTCTTGCTAGAGAGAGGAAGAGGAGGGATATATGTTTCACATGTATGCACTAGAAACTTAAATTACTTAGACATGTATATGATTCTGGATGCTTCCGGTTATGAATTTACATGTATAATTGCTTTTTTTCTTCAATCATGACTTTTATTTGACATCGTAATATATTTACAATGAATTCAAAGAATAATTTAAAATTTAAAAAGTGTACAGCAGAATATGGTGAAATATATTTATCATTTATCAAGTTTTCATTTGAAAGTCAACATTTTTCAGCATGATTTAAATTTTATTGTTTAAGAATAAGATTTTTAATTAAATGGAGAAGGATATATTGAATCTTCAGAAGATGTAGTCATTCATAACTGCAACTTTTTAATAATGTAGGTGGTTAAAGGATTTACGGGATTTATTTATGCTTTCATCTTTACTTAATGAAAAAGGTGAAAATAACGAACAGTAATCTCTCTCTCTCTCTCTCTATATATATATATATCTGTGAACAGGGCATAAAAACTAAAACACGGAATCCTTGATTTACATTAATAACTTACAACAATAAAAGCTGTTTTGAGGGCAATATGATGATTTAGCCATCCTCGAAAAACAATATTCACCTCGCCCGATTCCTGAGGTGGGACAAAGTGCCAAGGAGAAGTAAGCATCCCCTGTCGACCGGTCACAGCCGATGAGAGCCCTATGTATTGATCAGGTAGACAGGGTAATCTGCAGTCAAATTTAGTATAAACACAAAGGCTTTACAATTGATATGAAATATGTCAATCAAAATACGACCCAATGATAGATTGTATTTGCCAACAAGATCATTATGCCGGCCATAGAATTTACGAAATGCTGACTTTAAATGTGGTTGTTGAAATCCCTGTAACATCAACTTATCTGTCAGTAGCCTGCCCCGCTTTAAAGAAAATGATTATACTGAAAGCATTGTCTTGAGTATCGAATAAGTGGGAGATAAAACACGATATGCAGGTGATAGCGGACGGGATATCACTACATAAATAAGGAAAGTTGACGATGGAAAAGCTGAAGTCAACTCGTTTGTTATACAGTTTAGTTGTTAGTTGGGCCTTGTTAGTTGTCCCTTATTGTCTATAGTCAAACATCCAGATATAAAACAGATGTGGAATACTCTGTGATGTCTTTTATTTCAAGTTCACTGGGATATATTTAGTCGTCACATGAAAGAAAGTACATGTAACTTTTGTCAATTGATAAATCTGAGTTTGAGTTGAAGGCTACAGCAGGTGTTTTCTTCTCAGGTAGAAAAGTTTGAATAAATTCTACTTAGTTTCCATCGAAATTCCTTCAGTTTGTAGGAAGACCTGGTCTCCAAAGATTACATTGATGTTGTCAAAGAGGAACTCCAGCATCATTTTAAAATCAGCTGCAGAGCACTTAAATTGTGTGTAGAATCAGAGTGATTTTTAACAAAGTAATTTTGTTGATGATCAGTTACAAGATATAAAACTTCAAGGGTTCTCCTTTTATTGAAGAAGTCATTGTTTATGATATCAAAAGCCTAGCTTTTAATTTATTGTGAGGAATGGTTGTATAAAGTGTAGAAAACTCATATGGTATGATGTTACCAACTTTTGAAAAATTCTGTGATTTCAAATTTTCTAAAAATTCTTTGGAGTGTTTGAGGATGCATATTTGATTCACAACACTTCTTGAAAATGCTTTAACAAGTACTACTGAAGTTTCTCCTTTACATAAGTAAATATTTTGTGAGGAGTGAAGATAGAAGCTTGAAAGATTTAAAATATTATTACCTTGAAACAAGTCACTGAACTTTAATTTGTTTTAAAGGATTCTCCTGCCAAAAAAATAAAAATAGAAAAATTAACTTAAATTAATATGCATTTTTTTCGCGACATTTATATCATTCTCTAGTTACAAAACAGAGGAAAATACGTTTGTAAGCTATGAATAGCAATGTAAATAGAAATTTATGGGAATTTCTACGATGGCATCATTTGTAGGTGATATACGGGTCAGAGAAAATGGGACACACTTTTGTTTACAAATAGGTTCAGATGACCTTGTAAGCTTGGCATACATGAACACGTGTTTATGGGTCACAGCAACTGATGCTTGATGGGAGATATTTAGCAAAAACATAGCAAAAATAATTTACTAATGTACTTGATATTTTTTTCTAGTTTGTCATTATACTTCCATTAAAAGGATTACAAGTGCTAATTATGTTCTAAATTAAATTATTAGATCTGTCAACTTTAACTACAAGCATGTAATGTTCTTTCAAATTATATTCATTCCATTTTTATAGACTATTACATGTGACTAGTTTTATGTTTAAAGTTGATCTCAGTGAAAAAGTTCGACCGGCAAACTGTAATTCAAGTGAAAAAAAATGTTATTTAAACAAGTTCTTATCAATTGGATGCAGGCAGTTTTATTTTTAAAACTCTACAGATATTAAAAGTATGATATACTTATTGATCTGAAAATAAGTAATTATTCTCTTAAGTTAGACGCAAGGTCTAAATCGTGTTTAGTATCTGACACTTCAAACAGAGCAGATTTGAAGTGAATCTTATTGGCAAGTTCATTTTATATATTCGCTTAAACCAGATAAAGAAGATAACATAATACATGTAGATATATGTTAACAATATATATGAAGTATACGTATGAAAACACAAAAAGAACAATTAAGGAAAACGGAATGCTTCAGAAATATTTGAAATAAATGCAATAATTTTTATGAAAGATTTAACATTTATTTCTGATAAAGTATTTACGCTGTATGTGATATTCGTCAATTTCGTTATTAATACGTAAATACTAATAGAATAGAATATTCACTGATTCAATATCTTGTATTTTTTTTGTTTTTGTTAGAAAATAAAACCAGCAGCTTATTTTTCAATTTGCACTGTCTCTTTATTTGGATGATTTTTGCCTATTAGAAAAATGGGGGAGAAAATTATTCAATGAATTCAAATTCAACATGTCCGATAATTGTTAAAAAGCTACATAACTTAGTTTAGAAGTTTTTATTGAACTATATTATTTTATATAGCATTTCATGAAGGGTCAAAGTCAAACAGTTTTTGATTATCTAGAAATAAACGAAGTTTTTAGTGTCCAAAGGTAAATATAGTGTATTCAACAAATAATACTTTGCAAAACAGAGAATGTGTACATTGGCCATAAGTTTTATGGTTTAATTTAATATATTTTTGTCGGAAATAAAAAATAACAATCAATAAAAAGCTACTTAAAATATGAAAAATATTTCATTTATGAGACATGATAAACTCACATTAGAAGCATTTTTAGAGGATGTTACTTGTTACACAAATTGTTTCTGATTATATGCAGTTATAGAGATTCCACTATGGATGTAGAAAATGGATAAGTAAATGTCCATGCCACTTTTGCAAACCTGCAGAACATTTGGAGTTCGTCCAGAAAGCAGATCAAAAACCAAAAGAAGGATTTTCAAGACAAATATTATTGGAGTCCTTCATTATGGTTTTGAGTCCTGGAAGGTGACAAACAAAATCACACAAAAACTAGAAAACTTGCAAAAAAGATGCCTCCGCCAAACAAAATCAGGAGAGTAG